AACATATTTACCGGGACTACTTCTTTTTCATAAATACTTAACATATTTACCGGGACTACTTCTTTTTCATAAATACTTAACATATTTACCGGGACTTCTTCCTTCTCATATATACTTAACATATTTACCGGGACTTCTTCTTTTTTCATAAATACTTAACATATTTACCAGCACTTCTTCCTTCTCAGAATCACCCTAGAAAAATCCTCATTTACAGTTTGTATACCTTGGTAATAGTCCTCGTTCTCTTACTCTGTTGAACTCCCTCGGCGTCAGTCTTCTGCTGCAGAATTAATTTGCTGACATTTTTTCATTCATTTTCTTCTTTTCATGAACTTCTTGGACGTCGTTATTCTTATTGTCCTGCAGAAAACATTGGTGACATCTTTGATCTCTCATATTACTGAACTATACTGGCTTCAGTTTTCTTGTTCTAAGGTAAAGTTACCTTCATGACAGTCCTCATTGTCTTCTCTCTGATGTAACATTTTTACTGCACAGTCGCCTTTGTGACAATCATTATTTTCTGATGACATTCTTCTTCATGTCCTACAGAATCACTCTAATGACATTCTTCGTTCTTCCTAATTACTGAACTACGCTAGTATCGTTCGTCTTCTTCTAAGTCAATTTTTCTAGAATGGACTAGTGGTTAGCGTGATCGAACTGTCAACCCAATTTCTGGAATAAGAGTCGCTAGTTTACATTACTGGTGTTAAACTGTGTAGACTTAAAACAGCTCAATAATTTCGTTGACTGACAATAAAAAGAAATGAGTCTGTTTAGTAGAGAATTTCAGTAATTTAACAATCACTTACTTAGCTATTAAACTATTAAATGTGTCATATTACTGAAGGCTAATCGCTGCTCTCGGAACTATTTATTCTGTTGGTGACCTTGATCATTCTGCTGGCCATGATCATGTATATCCAGTTTCCATTGTAACAAACTCTTGAGAAGGGTATTGGGGTGAGTCTTAATCCACAATTCTTGACAGACTTTTCACAGACATTCCACTATACGTAGACGTCGGCTTCCAAGACCAGGTTCAAGCAGAAGAAAGGCACAAAACTCCCTTAGAATTGCATCAGGAGACTTGATAAACGTGTGAACAAATGGGAATGCTGATTTCAGTCTTTTTTGCCATCTTTCTCGTGAAATCAGCTTTTGGTTTCGAGGCAGGGCTGGAAGTTTTCACTTCTAGCGTATGAGCTTTTGTAAGCTTCATGTCCTTGTTTATCATCTTGTTGATAGTAGCAGAAGATATGCCCAGCTTCATCCCAATGGATGTTTGTCGGAGAG